CCCCCCGCTGCCTAGCTAGGGCCAGTATAGCCTGTGATGTTGACGAGATTCTCTGGCCTATGTGCAAATGTATACACGTGTTCATTATGTGAAAAGTTCCTTGAGGGGGAGAACCACAAGCAACATAACTTATTACTGTTTTTTTGGGGGGGGGGTTTTGTAGTATTGTTTTGAATTGATCTCACCAGTGTGTAAGACTATGTTGTAGTGTGTGTGTGTTTTTGAGGGCTTGTGTGTGATGTCTGAGGGAAAAGTTTGGTTTTTCAGCAAGAGTGAATGGTTTTGAGTGTAGAGCTTCATTTTGACCTGAAAATAGGATGTTTGGGGAATTGGGTGAGACGTTGTGGATTTGTGTTTACTGTTTTGAGAATATGAGGCATAGTTTCAAGAAATGTGTTTAAGCAATCGAGAAAAACTGTAATAAAATTCAATTGATTTTTTTGTTTACTGAAGACCTCCATTTAAATTTTTATATTCATGATACCTACAGTTGATTCTAATATTCTGTCCCATCTTCCTCCATCCTGCTCAGTTTCCCTTTAAGGTGAACTTACCATTAGTGACACTGGAAGTGGAGAAAGAATGGACCAAGTTCTCTGATGCTACAGCCAAACTCACAGTTGTACACGGCTTTCAGAGGAGTTCATGGGACTGGGTGGGACTGTACAAGGTAATACATGAAAGGCATTCATTTCATTAAAGCTCAGTCTGTCCACAGCAGACTTTTTTTTAAAGAAATTACACACATATTATTATAATAATTTGTATTTTTAATGATATTTTATTGTGTGTTGTATTGGTGTTTGTTATATGTGTGTTTGTATAACTGGTCCGCCTATCTTGGCCAGGACACTCCTGTAAAAGACATTTTTAATCTCAGTGAGGTTCTTTCCTGGGTAAATAAAGGCTTAATAATAATAATAATCACAATGGTGTTGCCAAAGTGTGCCATAAATGCTTCACTTTCTCAACAATAATAATTTTTAGACATTTTGTCCAGACACTCTCCCTTCCTACTATTGGTCAATGAATAGATAGTCTCGCCCCCAAACCCATACAACTGGTTGAGCCAGTGTTGCTAAGCTATGTTGGGCAGGTTAGGAAAATTTAACAAACAGAGCAATGTTATGAAAGAACCACAGAAGCACAGCCTTTTCTTTTCAAGGAAATTAACCTATACGTTACTTATAGTTATTTTTGCATATTTTGATCATAAAAAAAAATACACTTCTCAGTACAATAAATCCACAAAATAAATCATAAATGATTTTGATAAATGTAAAGTGCCCATGGTGTAATTAGTATGGAAGCTTGTTTACAAAAAATTATAATAATAAAAAAGGTAATTGTTACTTTTTTCTCACAGTTTAGAGTCTATATCTCACAATTCTGTCTTTTTTCAGTATTGCAAGATATAAACTCATAATTCTAAGAAAAGTTAAAATTGCGTTTATATCACATAATTGTGACTTTTTTCTCAGAGGTCTGAGTTTACATCTGATAGCTCTGTTAGTTTATTGTCTGAAAACAGGCTTCCATAAATTATGTAATTTAGCCTAATTTTCAGACACAATCTCAGATAGTTTTAGTCAATGCTTATACAAAGCAACATTTCAAGCAAAAAACTGAAAACTTTTGTACTAGAAAGAGATGGGTATTAAAATGAACTATGACGTGAATTTTGTTTATCTGACAATTATGTGAACTGACTAGTTGTGTTATGCTTACTTTCTCTTTAATTTACGTTTAAGATATCTGTTAAGAGATTATTATTTGACAGTGTATGAATACAAAATACACGTTGTTGTGTAGCTTGCAACGTAACCAGGATGTACTTGTTTGTTGTCTCTACAGAAGTATTCAGTTCAGTGTTTACAGTTCACTGCAGATGACTCTTTTGGTTTCATTTATATTGTTTATTCATTTCTAAATATTTATTATTTGTCTGCTTTTAATGATTTAATGAGCAATTATTATCTTATTAAATTCCTAATAAAAAACACCCCCAGGCACCCATCAAATTTGCACCTTAAATTAATCAAACTGGTAACACTTTATTTTAAGGTGTCCTTGTTGCACATGTTACATGTACTTATATTATAATAACAATTAATTATGCATAATTACATGCAAGTAACCCTAAGTCAAACCCTAACCATATAGTACATAAGTACATGTAGTTAATTAATATTACTCAGTACTTAAATGTATAATTACACTGTAACAAGGAAACTTTAAAATAAAGTGTAACCATTAAATTATTTATATACTCATGTTACTTTGTTTTAGGTGGGATTTAAGCACCACAAGGATTACGCTGCATATGTGTGGGCCAAATCTGAGCATTCGACACAGGTAGGACGTGTGCGTAAGATGTGATGAGATCTCAAAGATACTAGCAATCTGACCCTGAACTTTACGTCTCTCTGTGTACACTGGACAATGCTTTAATCCCAAAATCAAATAATTCCTGGATTGAAAGCTTTAAGATTAGGGAATGACTGAACAGTATTAGTACTAACAAAGATTTATTGTGTCGCCAGTGCTGACTATCATTATCCTTAATTAGTTTTATTCATGACCTTCAGGTGATGTTTCCTGAGGAGGATCTGCCTAGAGACCCAGGAGAATATATTCTGGGATATTACAGTAACAACACCAACAGCATCGTGGGAGTGACAGAACCATTTCAGGTCCACGCTGCTCTCACACAGCTACATTCTGATTCATATCAAATGCTAATATTAGTTTTGTTTGCATGCGCAGCTCAGTAGCTCCGAGCGTGTTATTCAAAGGGCATGATGACTAGGTCATTGTACTCTGGCATTGCCATTGTCAAAATTTGAAGTATTGACTGCAGTCTAATTTGTATTTGAGGCTGGACATTCAAAAATTACAAACATAAAGACTCTGTTTTGCCATTTGAATGTCAAACTAGATGTTAGATGCCACACAATGGAAATAAGACACAATGTACCACAGTTTGAAA